TTGCAGCATGCGTCTGTGCTCCACGTCTTGCAAAATAAGCGCAATCTTGAAGCTTGACTTGAGTTGTGACTAATTCGTATCTTCTGCTTGATAGACATATATTTAAAAATAAAATAAAATTGAGTATATGCCAGCGGGGGAGCTAACAAACGGGAAATGCTTCATATTATCTGCCACCATGTGTCTTAACTAATCACAGGCTTAGACGTTTGGCGCAACCCCGGAGGGGAGGCGACCCCGTATCCACCTAATCCCCCCAGTGCTCCCCAGCCGGCCAGGGGGGGCTCGCTTCTACAAAACTGTGTTCCCGGCGCTGCCGGGTCACTCCTCTCCCTCCGTCGACACACGCCGACCGCCTCTGCTGCTCGCTGCACATGCACATCTACCACCCCACCGGGCAGCCAATCGAAACACATGCATTTCATGAAGTTTTGGGTGAGTGACACTGGTAGATGTCTCTCTGTTGGGCAAAATTCGTATAAAATGCGGACCACCGCAATCGAATTTAGGAAGGGGTATACGGGAACTCCGTTTATCCGTACGGATGTAGTTTTCGTAAACTAAATTAACGTCACGCGTCACGCATACACTGTTATCTTCTCTGTTAGAGATACTCGCGGTACCCTCGTTGAAGGTGAATTTAAGCTCTAAACAAAATAGTTACTATTTTTTGGTCCATTGCAAAATTCATCTGTGAGTGCATCTTGTGAGCAACAAACATTAAACCTGATGTAGTGACGAATATTTACTTTCAGTTGGGCTACTTTTCATTTTGTGCAGTAAGACACAAAAATGATCACGCTTGGTTTAATAATTGTATCTTGCAATACATGCGTGCTTTTATACACCCGGTTCCCGATGTAAGGGTTTTGAACAGCGGACTGCGTTTTTCTACTTCGCAGGCAGTTACTCTATCCTATTGTTCTCTCTGTGTTGCAGTTCCTCGCCCTGGTCCTGGTTCTGCTGGGCGTCGTCGCCCATGCACAGTGGGACTTCACAGAACACTCTGAATACAGAGGTTGTTGTAGTGGGGTTTATTGCGGACGGAGATGCAATTGTGTGGACGCGGCGGTGTGCAAGGAGAAAGGCTTTACCTTTAGTGAAAACGTACAGAAATTTTGTCACGGCCCTCACGAGTGTATCAAACCGACCGTGTCAAAATTGCCGTCCATACATCGGATGCCGTGGAACGGACCTATGGGACCCAAGGGACCTAAGGGATCCAAGGGACCCATGATACCCAAGATACCCAAGCAGGGACCCAAGGGACCCATGATACCCAAGCAGGGACCCAAGGGACGTAATTTATTCTACTGGACTCATGAGGGGCACTAGACGGTTGTTTAACAAATGCATCCTGATAAAAATACAAAATAAATGAAAACAAGTTTTAATTCTAGATCAAAGGTACCGATATTCCTAAACTAATTATTATTAATATCAAATTTAAATGGATAACACACAAATAATTGTACAATTTCACACTCGAGAAAATTGATGATATTTCCTGTCGTTTGTATATAGCTTGCTTTTAATCTTGCAATTCGGCGGCCTAGAGGAGGTTATCAAGCAGGTACGGTGGAGCGAGCGGGGCGGCCCAGTACTATTGAGCTGGGGGAGCATGGCATGGCGCGACACTCGCTCGGACTCGATCGCCCCAGCGCCCAATAATGTTGATTCCTAGGCCAACGCTTGGCGCTCTTTCGTCATCGAGAATTAAAGCTAGCTGACACGAACGTTCCTTAATGTGCATACGTAATGTTTAGTGAAGATGTTTTACGGTATCGTCGGATTAAACAAACCCATGGCAGAAAAGCGTTTACACGGACAGCAGAAAGACATTTGGTCGCCACCTTAGTTAGAGTTCTTCTAGCAGCGGCAGTGTGATTAGCAGCACGACAGCCTTCTTTACCTGCGCCAGAAGATAAACGGTGGCGGCGGTATGCGGGCGCCAACAGTCGACACTACAACACAAGGCGCGTGAGAAATGGCGGTTGCTTTTTGAAATCTCTCGGCTGCAGGTTCTCGATGTCCCAAACTATTTTGTTAACAAAGAACAAACAAACAAACAAACAAACAAACAAACAAACAAACAAACAAACAAACAAACAAACAAACACGCTTTGCGTGAAAATCACGCTTTCGTTTCGTGAACTCTGTATCCACACTTTTCCTTTTCAAACTTCGGGCTAAAGATCCGATCAGAAGCTCGGTCTATTTGTAAACAGCGTTTATTGGGTGAGATGAGCAATGCACGAGTAGTTTGAGAGGAGCCTTCGCACCTTCTCGCCAAATAAAACGAATAAAACTATGTGCGGTGGGGATTGCCGCCGTGACGGCCGTTCAGATACGAGGACCTTTGCCCGAGGGGTCCCCCACTTCCAAAATAGGTGTACTGTCTGAGAGTTTTGCGCGATTTTGGCGTGAGTTTTCTAGATTCTGACGCGAGTTGAACGCGAGTTGAACGTGAGTTGAACGCGAGTTGAACGCGAGTTGAACGCGAGTTGAACGCGAG